CACACACACACACACCCCCCCCAGACAACTAGTCTAGGCCAGAGGTGAATATGTTGTGAGCACAACGGTCAGCAGGTGTGTGGAAGTGGATAAAAGGTAAAGAACTGGGACTGTGACTAATCCAACTATTTTCATTATCAATTAAGAAAACGGTTTGCTTGATTTAATCGAGTCTCAAAAATGTCCGAAAATAATGAAAATCCTCATCAAAATGTCATAAATCATCATCATATCTTCATAATCCTTGCTCTGTCTGACGAACACTATACACCAAAATATGGCCATATTTGCATTTTTGCTCACAAAATGCCAAAATAGTAATAGCAGATTAATCAGCTAATTATTTCAGCTGTAGACAGATATGTGTCTTGATTGAAGGTTTGTGGTAAACTGTGAGAGTATGAGGATGGGAGCCAGATTTGCCACACCTAGAAAAATCACTGAGACTGAGATTTTCTTCTTTTTTCTCTCTTCTTCTCTTTAATACTTAGGTGGTAGTATGAGCAGTAAGTAGCAGAGATCATAAAGCACACTAGCTCTGTCAGTACTATACAAAATGTGGATATGGTGAACTCTGTCTGCATCTCCGCCTTGACTTGTCATCTCTTCCTTAGTTGGGCCACTCATATCCTCCACACTCTCTGTCAACCTCGTATATCATCTATTATGAATTCAAGGCTACAGTCACATCAACCCATGAACACCCAGCACAGGACAGACGCCACATAACATACACACACATTAAGTCATAAAATACAGTACAGTACAATACAGTATGTAGTTGATTGATATAGATTTGATTCACCCCAAAGTAAAATAACATTTAGTCGGTAAAAACATTTACATAAAGTGATACAAATGCACCTCTAAATAAATGATGATGTATGCTTAGTAAGCTAAAAGGTTCACTTCAACTGCACCGCAGTCTACATGCGGCTCTAAATGTTGTGACTATAAAATATGTCCCTCATGACTTGTCGTAACCTGCAGTATGTTGCTATATGTAATGTGGCTGAATGTGTTGTTAATATAAAATCATTGGTTGTTGTATCAGAACATTCCCAGGATCATTCCGTTGTTAGATGAAAACGTCAAATATGACCAGCACTGACAGAAGAGATCAATACGAATTTGCCCTCAATCAATAAATGCTTGAATTTCCATTTTTCACATGAAAACAGTATATAAATTCAGATCAACTCAGCTCCATCAGCTAAGGAACAAACATCACTGCCTAATTTTCCCAGTAATTTTCAGACAACTGCACACAATTGACTCAATAGTTTGATGGAAAAACTATGACATAATGTCTGCTCATTCCTACTAAAATAAAACTGGCGTTTGCTACAGATTGGTTGGTTAAAGGACAGGACTGAGTCTAATGGGAAACAGGGCTGAAATAATCTGAGAGAGATGGAGTTAGTGGGGAGACAGGAAGAGATGACAGTGATGTAAAGAAAACAAAAAGTAAAGAGGTAGCGGGTTACTAATATCTCCTTGCTATGCATCTCCAGGACTTATTCCAGTATATAATAGAAATAGACTGATGACAATTACTTCATGCAGGCTCCAGCTAATAACACTGACAGCACTGCAGGAGCTTGTAAATTAGAAAATAGCACACACACACACACACACACACACACACACACAGGCTGCAAACTGCAGACAGCATAAATTTACAGGATAGAGATACATGTATGTAGGGAGAGATTTGCAGGTGAGACAGAGTCGAGGAAAGATTTTGCAGCCATAATCACCTCTACAGTATCATAGATTCAACTTATTTCTCCTTTTTCCTTCCTCCCATTTCTTTCTGTCCTTGCCATTACCTCTCAAGTATCAGCATCACCCTCCCTCATTCCTCCCTGTGTCTGCTCATCATTCTTTGCACCACTTGGCTGCATTCTTCATATGTCACTCATCCCATCCTCACCTCCTTTCCATTTCCCAATCCTGCCATTCTCTCCCTGTCTCCCAACGCTCCTCTAAATCACCCTCAGTTTCTCTCCATCTGTCCTTCTCTCTCTGAAATGACTTTCTCTCCCTGTCAGTCTGTTACTGTGTTATGAATATGCCAGACACTCGTGGGATCTGCATCTTTGAGGCTACATTTCGTCTTTCTATCCCTCTGCCGCTACCTGCCGCATTCACCGGTCAACTTCACACATCTGCAGCAGCTCTCTGCAGCAAGCTCACACACCCACTTACTGCACGCACACACAAGCAGGGACACAAATACCCATTCGAAGTTTATATTGCGCTGCTGTGTTCGGCAGCTGGTGACCAGAACCCTTAAACATGTCAACGCATGCAGCACATGACACCTTGCATATATAGTAAGTGCTAATACAACAGGCACACACCCATGGCTGGGGGCATACATAAGCACACTTGCACACACGCATGCATGCACAGATAAGGAGATGGTGTATGGCTACTTACAGCATTTGATGAAATGGTAGTGAGACATTTTCTGAGAGTAAGTCAGACAGTCCGCCTGTCAGGTAAAAAGGCAGGCAGGCAGGCAGGCAGGCAGAGAGGTAGGCAGCTACAGGTCCCAGCTAAACTAACTAATGCAGAGCTCGTAACCCAGCAGGATTCATTATTAATCTGGCTCCCTGCATGCTATCCAAACTCCGTTCCCCTGTCTGCATTATTCACCACAAGCGGCAGCGGCAGCTCCGGTTGCAGCCCGTGCAGCATCTACATGCGCACAGACGCAGACTCACATACACACACACGCACGCACTCGCACAGACATTCACTCACCTCCCTCGGATCCAACCCGTGGCAAGCGAGAGCTGCGGCCTGTTCTAGCTCTCCCCTCCGCCTACAGGCCAGATAACCGCCTTGCACAACGTCATTTTCTCCACCATGGCCGACGCACGTGCTCCAATGCGTCAACTGACTGGGACAAGCCGGGCTCAGGCCCACCTTCTGCTTCCAAACACCCCCAATGACGCAATGGCTCTTCACCTCCTTACACCAACCCTTCCCGGTCTTCCTATCACAGCAATTCAGAGTGACTCCATAAGGATGCACACCTCTTTGGACGA